ACCCTGTTGGATCACCCCTAGAATATGTTAGATTAGGGGTAGATGATGACAATTGACAAAGAAAAAAAAAGTACTAGCACATCAATCCTCCACGGTTGGTTGGTTAAGACTTAAGAAATATATACAGGAAGGACAGTAAGCATTAGAATTTCAAAGCCAGGGACAACGTACAACTTCTTCTTTTTTTTTTTTTTTTTTCTTTTGATGATGTATAACATAAATAACTACGAGTAATTTTACATGAAAATGATTTGGATTAACTTTTTATACATTTTCTGAGACTTTACTCTAGCTACATTTGCTAATAAGAGAAGACTTCATCAAGTACTGTTAAGAGTAGTTTTCTTTCAAGTAGGTGCAATTATGAACCGTTTCAAGGGGAAGAATGCCGACCAACTAATTAAAACAGGAGGCCGAAGTTAGTTGAAGCCACAATTTCTTGCTCAAGTGGCCAACCACTAATTTTCCACGGCATACTGGAATAGTCTTCATGTTAAGCACGATTTAAGTTAGGTTGACATAAGATAAAAGAGTTTGATCAAATCTTACTACACAAAAGGAATACCTAAATAATAAGAAAGAAACGCGCGAGAGTTGAGACGTGGCGACAGCACGAATCTGTCAAGGCGAAGCAACTAGGTTTTGACGTAGTTGAGGTGCATGACTTTTAGGTTCCAACTACGGTGAATTGGACCGCGTATGTGTGATGAACTCTTCTTAGAGCGTGTTTGGTAAATCGGCAAGGAATGAGTATCAATCAAAGTCAATAACATTTAAAACTAATGTTTGGGTAAATCATTCGTTGTCATATGCATCCAATTGTCATATATATATATATATATATATAATTATCTCAATTATATTAACAGGTGTAAAAGTGTTTGACTTCAGCCCATTTGATTAATCCATCAGTTGAACGAAATCATTTCCATTCCAAACCCAAAAAGGTTAAGGGGGAATGAATGTGAACCAAACGCCTAACACTGGAAAAAGTGTGAATGTGGAAAGTCTCTAGTCATTCCCATTTCCCCTCCGAGTAGACGTTGATGGCTGCTATTAGCTTCTGCGGTGGATGAATTGGAATGGTTTCTATATGACACCGGGCCTTGCTTAGTTGTCTTTTCTAGATCATTTGCGTTCTTTCATAACTTTGGAATGGTTTCTATATGACACCGGGCATTGCTTAGTTTTAACAAAGGCGTTAGATTCACATACTATACTAATTTAAAGGTGCCACCAAGGCAAGGCTTAGTCAAATTGATGACTCTGCTAATCCACCGGATTTCTGGCGTAATTGTCTGCGTGTGATTTGGTTCCTAATTAACGCTGATGAGGCGTTTAAGAATAAAGAGTGGGTTCAACCACATTAATTATTAAAACTCATATGTTTGAGATAAATACTACATTGATGAGGGAGGGGAGGTGTTTAATTAAGATTAGAAGTGAGTAAATCCCTTCCACGTTTTTCATGTGATATGTGTGGAATTGCTTGCGGGCATAGCATGGTAAACATGCATGTTAATTGTGTTTCCTTCTTTTTAACGCCAATCTTTATCAAGGATTGCTTGCTTTCTTTTGTTTTCATTTTTTTTTATTCACCTCACTAATTAACACGTTTAAATGTAGAGAATGGCTTGGTCTTGTGTCATACCATTATTGATTACAAAATTATTTTACAAATTCGATAAAGATGTTCTACAGCGTTTTGCATGAATAATTCGACCAAGGTATAAAGTTGCAGAAGGAGGTAAGGTGTGAAACAAACACAGAAATTGTACTAAATGTAAGGATGTTGTCTAAATGTGAACAAGTGAATATACGTAAGACTCGTTCTCGATTGATTATTGTAATTGATTATAAATTCTGATTTTGAATAATCGATTTTTGTGAGGTTCTTTATTGCTTTTGCATTCTGATTATATATTTTTTTAATGATAAAAAGAAAATCAAAATCTACAATCATTCAACTTTTGCTGATTATGATTATTCTTCATCATCAGTTTTTATTATAATCAGATTCATTAAATTCTAAAACAGCCCAGAACAAAAGCCTTGCATGATAAGTTAAAATCTGCCATACTAACAAGTGTCACCATTAGCAAAATCCAGTCATTATTGGCCTCTTGTGTGACCGATAACGTGTAAGTGAGTTTTGTCGGTATATATATTTCTTGTTTCTTAAGAAGTGCAAAATGTCGGTACAGTTGAATATCGTACGGAAGTAGAACCCCCAAAAAAAACAAATTTTTTTTTTTTTTCAGTTTATGGACATAGGATGGTGTGTAGTATTAGGATTAGGGACTCAAAACTATCCTAATTAATCTCCTGTACTGCTATATATTTATATATAATCTCTGGCTGATTTAGAAAGAAAATTCATGACAGCTTCTTAAGAATATATTCTTTACGACTGATTAACAGTTGATTAAACGTTTTGCTGTGAATAGAAGAGTCTTATTCTATTCCCTACATCTTAAGTAAAGCAAAGCTACCAGCTGCTTGCTAGCTAGCACACTGGATGACCGGCAGCTGGGATGGAAACCAAAATCAACTGTAAGCAGAAAATGGAAGCAAAACAACTAACTATACAGCACACTAATTAATATGTTGTCATAATCAGCACCAGTATCAGTATGGGGAAACAACTTGCCAGTAATATCATTATCTTATCCCACACCAAACCGTCCATCCAGGTCTGGCGAGTTCCTATCCTCACCGTCTTTGTAGGGGATAAACATTAACAAATGCACCGCAAATTATTGATTAGTGTATTATATCAAAAAAATTAATTTCTATTTGTCAAGTCATCATTGCTAATCCGAAAACTCAACTAGACAAAAAACTTGGAGTCTAGCTAAGAGTAGCCCTTTTTTTTTTTAAAAAAAAAAGATTTCAGGAATCATGCGAGGCAGGGCACTTAAATTAGAGCTCACTAGGTGTGCATGTGATGTATCATGTATGTTACTCATCGTGATTAACAAGTCATTTACACTATTTACTCTTTTTTCTAAAAAAAAAAAATTAAAGAATAAAAAGCAAAGAATTTCTCTTTTGGATTGACCTATTTTTCAAATACAATGTTACAATTAATACACAAACAAAAACAATTCAAAAAGCACTTCATCCATACAATATATAAAAAACAACTCACAAATACACATAAAGAAAATAAATTTTACAACATTTTTTCACCTATCACCACCATCCACCCCGACTGCCACCACCGTCACCACCCCCTACCTTCTCCTTTCTCCTCCCCTCCTCTTCTTCCTCCTCCCTCTTCCCCTTCCCTTTAACTCGCTCCCTCCGCTTCCCGGCCACCCTCCAAACCTCCCCTCGATCTGGTCGCTAGTCATGACCAGAAGCCATGGTCTAGTCGTGGCCAGATCACAACCAGAAGATTTGGTACTTTTTGTGCGCAATTTAGTCACGACTAGATCAGGAGGGGAAGGGATGGCTAGAGGGTGGAGGGAAGGAGAGGGAGGAGTGGTGGGGTGTGGGTGGTTGTGGGTGATAGTATTAATTTTTAAAAAGTATTCTGCAAATTTTTAATTTTAAAAGGTACTCCAAAGTATATTCTAAAGATCCCTCCAAAAACATGTACAGTAAAAATTTTTCATATACACTACTATAGTAAATTATTTCAAAAATACTTTCAAAGACAGCTAATCCAAACGGAGCCGCACATTATCTCTTCTAGTCAAATATGTGATACTCTTTGTCCCTAAAATCCAATTTAGCTAGTAGAAATATTAGTTAAGTAATTACGAAATTTTTGATTTCGCTATCGAGCCCTACCTTTTTTTCTTCTCTCAACCAACCGCAAATAACACACACACTCAGAACCTAAGCCAATTTCACAGCCCAACCCAAAAGGCATGCTGAATTTTTTTCTTCATTCTTCCTTTATAAAGTTTGGAGTCTCCTTTTAAATAAGAAAAAAATGCAAGATACTCTGTTTTTTTTTTCCCATTGACGTCAACTTTACTTGGTCATATACTAATTGCATACTACACTACACCACAAAAAACTCATGTCACGTAAGGCATGGGGGTATAATACTTTGGTTGTAAATTCAGTAAATACTACAACACATACATTTGGTAGCAAGAAGTAAGAAATCAATATATAAATCACTAAAGAAATGCGGCTAAGATGGCACTATGGTGTAACGCGTGAACCTCATGGACGCAGCCTTTTGTACACTCATCTTGAACACCCCCCCCCCCCCCGGCCCTCTTTTGTGTTTTTTTTTGAAGGAAGTCATCTTCAACTTGGAAACAAGAAATGGTCGTAGATTTACATGTGAAATCCAAGTGGCCACAACTCAACACAACTCAACCTCACCTCGCCCAAAAGCATCAACTACCAACATGCCAACAAAAGCTTCATAGGCCTAGCGTACCATATGGATCCCCATGTCACCATTTCCACCTCCCCCTCTCAATTCTGACCAAATTTGGCACCCTTTACAGTACTGCTACAGATACAGATGCACGATGACGCGTATATGCCCCGCCACCAACCACGACTCTTTGTCCCCTCCCCTGCCTGCTCACGCTTCTTCCTGCAAATTGCCAATTTGACTACTCCATATATAATCCTTAGGTACACATAATGTTGCATTTGGTCAAGAATCATAAGGAGTTCTTTTCAAAATTTCAAGCCCTTCGTTGGATTTACTAGAATCTTTTTCTAAGTATCATGCAATTGGTTGGATGTACGACTTTTTACGATCATGAAATACAGAGGAGGTATATTATAGTTAGTGTGCAGTGCAAATATGAACAACACGAACTAGCGTCAAATAATTCTGCATAGAAAGAAAGAGATCACGCCCAATGTTCAAAGATTCACAACTTTAAATGTCAGCTTCTTAATAATAGTTCAGGATCAGCGAATTGACAATAATAGAATGATGCCTTTTGCATTATCAAGTCGAACACATAAAACATAATACTAATAAGCATTAACCCGAAAAAAAAAATGGAAAAAAAAAGTCCACTACACACACGTCTAAATTGCATTAATGAAAAAATGAATTAAATTGATTGATCACTGTCTCTATCGACAAGTTCATCTGTACATAGACAAACAAAAACTTTCCCATGAATCAAAAAGAAAAAAATAAATGATTTTACACCATAAGCTAACATGAATATTTCAACCTAGACTGCAAATTCCACTAGTATTTAATGTTCTCCACTTTAATTGGCAAATTGAAGCGAGATTTTTTTGCGGGATGAGGGCTCTCGACCTCATCTTCAGTGGACCAAAACTCCGGCCACGCAGGCAAGTTCAAGTCAAAGTCCGGTGGCTGTGTATTAGTTGACCCCACCCCTTCAGATGAAGTAAGTCCGCTGTGTCCGCCGCTGCTGCCCGCCAATTGTGCCTTCATAGTGGCACCGCTTGTGGCCTCCCAGAGCCTGTCCAGAAGGGAAGCACTTATGACAAATAGAGCACTCATGAGTCTCCCGCTACCCCAGCGCCGACGCCGCTAGTACTAGTAGTAGTCACCGTAGTGGTGGAGGTGGACGGCTGGTCATCGCCGCCACCGCTAGGAAGCTTCCTATGACTAGCTTTGTGCCACCTAGAGCTTGGTACGACCCAAAAGCCTTGTTACAAACCGAACACTTGTACAAGAGCTTAGGAACATCCGAGGAAGTCGAAACATGAGGCGGCGGAGGCGGCAAAGAGGCCTTTGGCGCCGCTGCTGCAGCCGTGGAGGAGGAGGAAGAAGAGGGAAAGGAAGAAGGGAGGTTGAAGTTTACTTTGCCACCGCGAGCGAGCATAATTAGGCAGAGAGCTAGATACTCTTCCTCAGTGGGCTGTGGATGGTCAAGGCTACGCGGTCGTTTTGATCTTTTTCCCTTAGCCCATGGCTCCGTTAGATGGCGGAGGCTTGGGTTGTCGAAGGGGAAGGAAGGAGTAGGTGTAGTGGGAGAGTTCAATGCTTCCAGAGCCATATCAGGTATTGTTTCTGAAAGTAATCAAGAAATCAGCAGGAAGGAAGTTTGGTTGCTTGTTGTGACAGAAAAGTCGCGAGAGAGAAGGGTTTTGCTGGGGAGGGAGAGCAAGTAAATTGGTGATTGGAAGAGTGATGGGAGTGAGAAGTGGAAGGTGGGGGGGACTATATATATAGAGGGAAGGGTTATGGGAGTCCGTAGAAAAGTAGGAAAGGAGTGGAAGTTGCGTGAGGGGTGACAGGAAAGTACTAGTAGCAGTAAGACGGTTATGCAAGGTATTTTCGCTCTTCTATTCTAAGGATGACGATGTAAATAAATGGAAGCAAGCAAACGAAATTTGGGGTCAAAGGGGGAGCATTAAAAATTGGAAAGTGAGTGGAGCACGTTTAGTTGAGGCGAGGGGGTTTGGTTGCTTGGGGCCAAGTGGAGCACGCTTGGTGAGAGTGAAGTCGGTTAGTGTGTGAGCGTGTGTGTGTGTGTGTGTCATTGCTGGGTGTGGGGCTTTCTCACGGAGGGAGGGACTGTGTGAGAGTGGAGACTAGGTACGTAAGTGTGAGTGTGTGAGAGTGGACCAAAATAAGTACAAGTGGTAGTGGTCTGGAACTGGTACAAGAATTCCCCCTTGGACTAAAGACTGCGTCAAAGTCAATCCACATGAACGCTAGTAATCCCCACGCGGCCTTTTACGTGGTACAAACTACAAAGAGTGCTAGTCTTTTTCTTTTTTTCTTTTTCTTCTCCCTTTTTATTTAAAGTTACGTCCTTCGATTATACTTGAATTCTCACTATTTTATCTATGACACTTTAGTTTCTAAAGTATAAAATCTACACCATTTTAATTCTTAAAATATAAAATTTGCCTCCCTTTTTGTCATCAATTTCAATTGCGCGAGCCAATGAAGTTTCATTTAAGTGAAATCTGATTAGATCAAACGGGTATTCTGATATTTTCTTTGAATCCTTTTTAAAGCAGGTGGAGTTGGAATACTCGATCTATAGTCGAAAAAGGGATTTAATCTATTTTTAGTGGCCACTAAACCAAAACTGATAAGTGGTTTCATCTGTTTAAGTTGAATGAAGTTTCGCTTTCTTTGGATTTAAGTAAACTTGTAGTACAACATGAGCCCTCCACCATCCACCGCACCACCAGATGTCATGTGAATATGTGCGTGTATTCCAGTCGGTCACCAGCCGGCGCCCAGCAGCCATTTGGGAATCAAAGAAAGAAGGAAAAGCAAAGCCCTTTGAACTTCGGTGAAAGGCGGCTGAATTTGCTTTGTGATCATCTGGGGTCGGCTAACATCTATTAATTAGTTCAAATAATTCTCTCCACCTGTCTATCCTACACAATTTGCTGCTCTTGCATGATTACTAGTCTTCTCAAGTAAATTCATGCATCTCTTCCCCTGGCAGCCGGCTGCTATTTTGCACATTGCAAAATTGATGTGCCGACTTGGACATTTCAGAGTGGTTAAAATATCCAGTCTCACTTGGATAATTCTAAGTTCAACAACTATAGGTAAGAAAAGTAGTACTAGTATGCAGTGAAATTGATTATTTCTGAGTTTCTCTTTTATGATTGTCAGCTGATGCGTTCTATTTTTTCAGCCCTTCAATGATTTTTCTACAGTAAACAAAGTTAAACTTGACCTTTTCAAAGAAAACGTGATATATTGTTTATATCATATCAGAAAAGTGGGAGGGGGGGGGGGGAATCAAATGCACCACGTGTTTAAAACAAGCCAGAAGTAGATGGTAGTGTGTTAAAACAAGCCAGCACAAAGTTAGACATTGTACAAATAATCTGACGTTTATATAATTTCGTGTGGTATAAATTCAAATTATATATATGTAGTATGCATCTGTTGTAGCTGTTGGTGTAAAAAAAAAAATTACTATATTGTAAGTGCATAAAAAAATTAATCATTAAATAAAATCGAGTTATTAATTCCGGATTAGGGTGCCGTGGACCTGGAAATAAATTGGCAATCTCAACAAGCTAATACTTGTCCGATTGTCCGCCTGCGTGGTTTTATTGACAGGTGAGTTGATACCGATCACCAAGACGAATTTGGGCACCTATTGGCTGATTCATTTCTGGGGGAAAAGGAAATTGGACAATACAAAAGACCCTACAGGGTTACTTGATGTTTGACATTTGTATTCATTGTGGCATGTATTTTGATGTTCACGAGACCACGTGTTACATAAACGAAAGTTGTTCTAGATTCGGAAATTCTTCTAGATTACTTATAACAAGGAAAAAAAACAAAGGAAATAATTCCAGAAAACCATTACATAAATATATCTCAATTCTTACCTCTTGCTAGTTACTAGCCTAAATATTGTATGTGAACCAATTATCCAAATGGGTAAAACTCTATTCCTATGTGGGAATCCTGTACCCTACACTTAAGAAGATCGGAGGTTCAAATCTTGTATCCTGCATATAAGAAAATTTAAGAAGTGTACCAAAGTACTCATTTGATCTAGAAAGATCTATCTTTCCTCTACCCTCTTATACCTATCTTCCGATGTAATCCAATCCGATTGGAATCTCCCTCCCCTCTAGATTCTAGAATAGGATAGTACAAATATTGTATTTTTTTTTTCGAATAGTACATATATTGCCGATTGGAAAAAAAAAAATCTATGGGATAAAGAGAGCAGCATGATTTGAACATTACTCATCTAGCTTTTGACGCCGCCGGAGGAGATCTACATGGTTCCCGTACAGTACAGCCACTATGAAATTTATTTAATCTTTTTAACCGCGGTTGTTGACCTCCTCATTTAACCAGTCAACGTTTGATTGCCAAAGAGAATGCTGGCCTCTTCTGTTGACTGTCATTCTTCTTCTGGATTTTGACCAGTAACGCATACCCTGGAAGCTGGAAGCTGGAAGCATCCAGATTCCCTGTTATCTGTTGCCACTGCCTTACTTCAAACCCTGACGACTTTTACCATACAATTCAACTCCCTCATCCAATTAACTCTGATTAGTGCTAGAAATTAGAATTGCCCTTCCAATACAACAACTCTTTGTGACCCAAAACAGACCTCACTCGTATGCCATCCATTACTAACCACATCCTTGTCTTTCTTCAATATTCATGTCATCATCTCAACCTAACACACTTATATGTACGATGCTAAAATGTGGTTCACATATGTTGGGAAGGGACTGAATACAAGTAACTTAACTAACAACTATCGAGGACAATAACTTGGTGGCGGTGAAGTTTCTGGTTGACTCTCGAGTCCTTTCCTCTCCTGTTTTTCCTTTTGCAAGACTTAAAAGTCGTCGTTAGACCTAAACTAAAAAATAAAAATCGATAAAAGAATTCGCCGTGAATTAGAAATTAAACAAGGTTTTCATGAGTATAACAAAAGTTTACAAGACTTTGGTTGATTTATTCAATCAAATTGAAGAAGTTCTAAATGAATGAAGCGGTTGCTCCTCCTTTGGGAACGATGAGAAAATCAAAGATTGTATCCAATTTGTGTTGTGCTTTTGTTGTTCTTGACAGGATAAGCACAGAGAGAAAGAAGGCAGCCTGCGCCAAGTAAGCTAGTGATTTTAAGTCACTGCTTACCTAAGTAACTTGCTAGTTCACTTTGCACTCCGTTTTCATTGGTTGGTGGACTGGTCGCAGCTAAAACCACTGGGTTTTGGATTTGCTTGCAAGATACACACATAACATTTGTTGAATGAATATGACTTTTCTGTACAAAGCCGAAAAAGCCCATTTCGGCTGCCAAGTGATTGACCCGCCGGGCGACTACTCTTTGGCTCTCCATGAATCTTTAAATTTATTGAGAGCAAAATGGAAGATTAAATTAACGACCAGCTTCAATTTGCATTGCTAGATCAATCTGTTAGCACGTGTGTTAAAAGCTTTCTACTTTATTTTATTTTATTTTATTTTACATCATTTCCCGTTGCCATAATAAAATTTCGGCCTTATTTGACAAATAATTTTTTGGCTAAATTTGTCGGCTACAAGTTTTTTAATAATTTGAACTACAGTAATCTCACAAAAATTTTTAAAATTTTTAAACTATACAGTTTAAAATATCCAAAAATTTACACATTTCAAAAAAATTTTCTACAATTTGTATAGTAAGTTTTAGACAAATACTCAAAAAACTCACTTGCTAAACAGGGCCTTCGTATTCTCGCAATAGTGAATCTTGATATGAGACAATGATCAAATTTTATTGATTGAAATTATACTGCAAGTTTTTTTTATTGAGTTTGAATGTTATTGAATATAAAATGTTGTTCAATCTTGACTTGATTGGTTGGCGAATCAAATTTGAATGAACTTTTATCAAGTCGAGCTCATAAAACGCTGCTCAATCTCGACGTAACTAGTTAGTGAATGAAATTCGAATGAACTCTTACCAAATAAAGTTCAATTCGAATATCAAATAATTTGATTCATCCTTTAACTCAATTGATTATTGTCCAAGGGGCCTCTAATGAGTTTTTTGCTTTTATTAAGGTAAATTATGTTATAATCATAGTAGCTTGACTTGTATGTAACTTTTTAGTTTGTATGGGCCGAGAAAGTTCTGGATTCTAATTTTCCAGAAAAAAGTTTAAACAAAAAAAAAAAACCTTTTATACTCCTACTAAATGTTTTAGTCAAACCTTAAGCTAACTACGGAAAGCGTGGTTCTGTACGGGAAAATTGCCACGCTCTCCGTGAGACTTGTATGGTCGTTTTCTGGATCACTCGTAATACGACCGAGAAAATCTCAGACCCAAAGACAGAGTGAGAGAGAGGAGATGTCGTCGCACGCGCAGCAGCCAAACGATCCAAGGCTACCGTCGGCGGCGCGGCCGTACAAGGCTCGGGTCGTGGCCCCGCAAGATCTCCCCATAGATTACTCCGGTTTCATTGCTGTCATCTTCGGCGTCTTCGGCGCCATGTTCAGAGTCAGTTAATTTCTCCCTCCTTTCTCTCTTGCATACTGATCTGTTGATCCGATTTCTAGGTTTTGCAATTTTTCTCTGATATCTATAATAATAAATGCAAAATATTGGGTGATTCATTGTGCAGTACAAGTTGTGCTCGTGCTAGCGATATATATTTAGTGCGCAAGCCTAGCTAACATGAGGAATTTTGAGAATGATTTCAAACAGATCTCCATGGCCATGATGTAAGCATTTCCATCTCTCTTTCTCTTTTCCCTCTCATCTATTATCATTAATTGCTCATTCCTGCTCCGAAGAATCTATGTTTTAGTTGCTTAGATTAATGCGTTTAATCGCTATTGTGCCCTAATTTGAAACTACTCTTGGGTTAGACACAAATCTGGGAATTTGTAAGATACTATAAAATTTTTAGTTTCCTTAAATATGTTTCGTTGCTTAAGTTGCAACTGAAGTGGTGTAAGTGTTCAAGATATTTCATGAGCAGCATCTGGATTTTGCTCTTGCGTTGGGAAATTACTAACTAGGATACTTATGTGAGGAATGTGTTTCTGCATGAATTGATATGTCAGAGTGAGTTATATGGTCTGACATGGTTTCAGCTTATGGTTTTAGTTGCTTATTTCTTGTTGCTTGCGAATGTTTTGCTCTGGTATTTTATGCGTTTGCTGGGGTTTGTGTAAGTTTGATTCATTGAGTTACTTGGAGGTTGTGGGATGTCTTGGTGCAAGTGTGACAGCGCAGCTTAGTTTTACTCCTAATTCTTTTGAGTTCCTTTTGAGGAGTAAATAATTAAGTTTTGTGACTGGACACAGGCCGACTTAAAGGTTCTTTAGCAGATTTTCATGATTTAGGTAACAATCAGTTTATACCTTTTGATGGGATTAAGTTCGAGGAAAGCAAAAACTTCGTTGTTTTTATTTCTATAAGAGATGAATGATACCAGGATTGTGAAATTTTTTGATATCGTCTTTGGTTTCTCCATGAAGTTTAGTAGTCTCTCCATGATTGACTACAAAATGACTAAAATGCTGAATTATAGAATGAAAACCAGAAGTGATGAATATCTTGGTGAAGGTAGCTAGAAATTCAGACTTGGTATTAGTGTCCCTAGCATCCCCAGCATCTACATTGATAACCTGATTAAGCATACTAAATGATTTTAGGATGATTCTCATACTCCTGGCAATGTTGTTAAAGGATGTAGCGTTGCTAATAACTGATACCATATCTCAGGTTTTGTGGTAATTAACATTTGCCAGTGTGTGCTGTTGTTTAAATTTGCAAATTTGATCGGTCAAGATAGTATTGTTGTGTGATAGAGTCTCAATTTTGTTTTGAGCTTTATTTTGGTTATTGTTTATAGTGTGTGTTCTTTGTTGTAACCTAACCCTGCTGGCATACCTATCCCTGCGTTTGCCAATTTACCTAGGTTTGGCATCATGGGCTTGGTGACAAACTATTTGGGATGGGACCTAAGGCAAGCACAAAACGATGAAATCAGCTATTGCAGTTTCAACAAACAATTCCTGGAAGTGGTAAAGACATCACTCACTCTTTGGTTTTGTGGGTTAAAAGCTCTACATTCTCTTGCTTTCTTTTGTAGGGTGGGGGTGCATCAACCCTTGTATGTTTTAGTTGCTATTTTCCTTGGGGGAACTTGGAGATTTCTTTAATGGCCTGAGAAAATAGAGGTTTACTGCTGATGTTTGATTAAACAAGTAACAGGGAGGTGAAATTTTAACTTACCTTGATAGTGGTATTAGGTCTTGCTACGTTACAGTCTGTGTTTCTTATTTTTGTTTTTGTTTTATGTGAGGTTACTCATGGTTTCTACATCACAAAACGGGGTGATATTTCAAACCAAATAACCTAGTGCCACGTTGTGTGAGTTATTTATGAATGTGAACAATTGATGATTATATGTGGAAATGAGGAACTTTCTGCAATGGAATTTGGTGGGACATTTGTATGATCTGGGAAGGCGACGGATTGAGGATATCATTACCAGCTTTTTACATTTTATCTTGTTGGAGAATATTAATGATGAGATTCTTCTTATTATTATCACTCCAATTGAGTCAGCGCGGTAGTACAAGCATGGTTGTATCATCAGGTTTCTTTGTGAATGGTGAGTCAATCGTGCCAATATGGGATACCGTTAGAGAAGAAGAAGCAAGATATTAGTTACCTTTCAATTTTGCTCATCTCTTTAAATCAACTAAAGTTGAATTAACGTGGACTTTGTGAGTTGTATTATGAATCACCTCAATTGATCATGAACTCCACTTGTTCCTCGACGGGTAACCGTTTTCCTTAAATCACGGTTCACTTTGGGACCTAGAACAGATATTAAAATGGCCAGGACAGGATTTGTACGAATCTGATCCACTAATCATCTCATCTAGACTTGGATAAGCGATACAAAAAAACTGTAATACTACAGAATTGCTGATGCATTGAAGTGACAACTTGAAGCGTGGTTCATGAAATTCATCACGCATGCGTCATGCTGTCCAGTCCAGAGATGCAACTTGCAACAAGTATTTCTTTGATTATTAATCGTCAGAAAATAGGAGCGCGACTCTCTTCACACACTTGTACCACTCCCATCCTCTCGCCATATTTTGTTTACATCGGCTTCAAAGAGTCAATGCCTTACTTGAGTGTGAAAAATTTAGGGAAAATGCATGCTACTAGTGTGTCATTAGAATATGAATTAATGTTGGCAACACTGAATGTATATATATATATATATTAATGAGTTTGAATATATGACTCGTGTGTAAAATTTAAAAATAAATTAGTATTAACTGTCACGTACTCATGTTCCTTAATTTTACACTGTCAAGTAGCAGATATTAATCCAACAAAGTATATTATCAGTGTATGCATTAATATGCATAGATAAATCTGAATTTGAATGTAAATGCCTAGTTATGCCCTCAAGCGTCTACATTGAATACATAGAAGGTGGTGTATGAAGGATTAATTTAAAGAAAATTTATTGATACACAAATCTATCCTACTCGCCGTCTAATGAGAGAGATCCAGCTGTGCAGAGTTTTCCAGCAGCTACTAATAATAGGGAGGTCTTCAGACTTTAGGGAAGCAAACAGTTGAGCAGGTTTTTTGGCCAAGTTAGGTGCTGAAGCTACAGAATAGAAGACTTCCTTTTGTTTCCTGTGTACTATTTGGATTTCTCATCTTTTGAAAAACAAATTTTCATACACAATGTTACAGTAATATATAAAAAATAATAATTTTTTAAAAATATCACATCCATACAATATATCAAAAATAATTTTAAATATATAAAAAAAAAAATTTACATTACTTTCTTATTTCATTTATTATCGCCACATATCATTACCACACTTACCCACCACTGTTACCCATTCCCTCCTTCTCCTCTTTCCTCTCCCTCCCTCTTTTTCTTCCCTTCCCCTTCCATCCCTCTTCCCCTCGGGAGTTTCCTACCACAACCTACTCCTCCCCTTCCCCTTTCCCCCAAATTTGGCCATGACCAGATCGTGACCAGAAAAACTATGATCTGGCCACGATGTCATAACCAGAGCCCTCGATTTGGCCTCGGCCAAATCCGGAAGTGGGGAAGGGGAGGGGTGAGGAATGGGGGGGGAGGGAAGAGGAACGGAGGATGGGAGGAAAGAAAGGGAGGAGGAAAGAGATGGAGGAAGAGGAAGGGGGGAGAGGAGGGTGGTGGCGGTAGTGAGTAGTGGTGATAATTTTAAAAAATATCATTTTTAAACTTTAAAATACTTCAAAATATAATAAAAAATATCACGAAAAATATTTATAATAAAAATTTTTTAATATATATTATTATAATAAAATATTTTTAAAATACTTTGAATCCAAACGAAGCAAATTGTCTAAACACGTTAAAAAATAATAAGGAGAGGTACCAATGAACAATTGGCCACCGTCTACTTTAAAACCAACCCCCTTCTCTTGCTGACTCATGTTCTCATTTGGTCCTTGCTCGTCCTTTATATACCGACCAATGAACATAGCCAGGGATTTACTCCCCATTGTGCCCAACTCTCCGGGCCTAAAACTGTCACAGAAACCTACAAAAGATATTTCCACAGGGGCATTTCTGTAAAAACAATAGAATTACCTAACTCAACCACAACGACCACCACTGCCAGACGAGCTGAGCACACCAACTCAGTAGCAGCAGCTGGTGGCGAGAGAGATCAAGTGACGTCATTCAAAGTACACATGGCATCTTCTACCACTGACGCCGCAGACGACCGAATCCCTCGTATTGCATCTACTATTCGGTCATACAAGATTTCCCAAAACCCGGGATACAGTTTCAGGACATAACAACGTTGTTGCTTGATCCCAGGGCTTTTAAGGATGCTATCGATCTGTTTGTTGAGAGATATAAAGACCAAAATATCAATGTTGTTGCCGGTCAGTTGCCTTCTTTTCTTTTCTTTCTTTTTTTCTTTTCTCTTTGCTTTGTCGTTTCAAATACTGTTTCAGAGTTTTGGTACTTATTCCTTTGTTGTCAAGTCCTGATTATTTGTCGTTTTCTTTTTATGGAGTTTGCCTTTCAGTTTTTGTAGTTGACCGTTTGCAGTTCTATACATAATTTGTAGTTCATGTGGGATTTTTAAATTTTAGGAGTAATGGGCTGTAAAATGAGTCCTACAGGAACTAAGTAGAAAGCATAGAGATTTTGTGCACCATCTAGAAAAAAAAACCTTTTTGATAGACAATTTGGTTTAAATGGCCAATTCTGAGGAAATCTTGTTATAGACTAGTATAGTCTTGCTGCATAATCTGCGTACTTTACTGGCTGCTACACAGGAATAGGGGAGAAAGACCTCTATTTGGGGGCATATTTATCTCTATTTGCCTGCTGTTTATTCCCCACGCTCGTCTATTGTACCCTTTTTTTTTGGAAAATAAAGGGTACAAACATTGCTTTTAATTGATGATTCAGGTCCAATATGATAGACAATATGAACTGGTTGTTGATTCAGATCTTGTTTGGATCATATAGGTTGAAGGTTGTTCTAACCGTGTTATGTGTAACTAAAAAAATGTTAACTTTGGATCATTTCTGACGTGCTTTTCTTTCAAGTTGTTACTTTATTTTTTGAAGATTGCCTGCATTATGCTTATTGCGGGATCTCAACGAGTCATTCACTGGTTTTTCTGGATAGTCATTGCCATATATGTCCTTTTCACTTTCTTCTTTCATTTTTCTCATTTAAATGTATTCCTTCTTTGCCTGTGTCTGCATTGCTGCTTCATATTTATATCGTACATTCGATACTGATGGAAAACAATTATTTCAGGTATTGAAGCACGAGGTTTTATATTTGGCCCTCCTATTGCCTTGGCTATGGGGGCAAAGTTTGTTCCCATGAGAAAACCTAAGAAATTGCCTGGTAAATCCTTGATGCTTTGTCCTCATCCTTTCTGTGATTACTTTATACTGATTTTTTTGATATAGTTGTGGAGGAGAGCATAAATATGAAGAAAACAAAAGACGAAATGAATTAAAGATCCAGAAATAGAGGAAATAATGGCTTTCATTACCTTTTTTGTCCCTTTGTATACTTTTAGGATTACTATAATTACTGTTTTTTCAAGTCTGCAACATGGAATTAATAGGAATGTTTACTTTTCTTCATTTGTCTTTTCTGAATTGAGAGTGTATCTTAAGGAGGAATAGGATATTTGACAACCTTCAAATATTCGCAATTGGACTACTATAATAATCAGAGGCATATATTAAACTTAAAAAAAAAAAGAAAAGAAAATGAAACATGTAAATAAACACAATTGTACAAGTATGTTATCCAAAATGTATAGAGACCTATCCAATTGCTTATAAAATATTTATGTCATTATGTATTCTCCTGTATGACAACAAATTATAGCACTGAAGTATAATATTCCCTGTGCAAATTTTATTTAACTGATTTTGGAGCAAGTCCACCAAGAGTTTGAACTTGATAAGGTCAGAAATTTTATCTTCTTTATGCTGCACAAGGAGTAAAATATCATTTGTGAACACATCACTTGGAAGGATAGCTTTAGTAGAATGCTTAGTTCCCACAGACATTTCATGTAGTTCACATTCTATTTTGTGGTTTCCATCTCATCCAGGTGATTGGAGTATCATATCCAAGTTATATTTGTTATACAAAGAATTTAGGATTCTATGTTATATCAAAGTTATATTTGCATGCACTAGTCAAACATCATTTTACGATGCATTTAAGTTTCTCCATGTCTGTGGGAGAATATGTTCTTTCCTGTTATTACCATAGCTGGAAAGGTTTTGGTTATGTTTCTCTGTGTGCCAATATCTCCATGTTTCAAAACCTTCTTTTGAATCATCTTCATACCCTGCTTATCAGCGAAATATGACTATTATATAGTTATCTGATTATTTAGCTTTGTGCTATTCCTTTGAGGCATTTTCTGTAATTGACCTGTTTTTTCTGCTGCAAATAATCTTCTGTCTAATGCAATCTTTCAGTTTGTTTGTTATCCATGTTTGTGAATATCTTATATTAACATCCCCTGACTATAAGCTTCTTAAAACTGTGTTTGTACCATATAACGATCAAATGGAGATGGAATGTCTTTTCAGGAGAGGTTATTTCAGAAGAATACTCTTTGGAGTATGGTACAGATAAAATGGAGATGCATGTAGGGGCTGTACAATCTGGAGAACGGGCTCTGGTAGTAGACGATCTCATTGCAACTGGAGGAACACTAAGTGCTGCAATCAGGCTACTTGGTAGTTGCTACCTTCATAAAAAGCTGGGATGGGCTTTAAATTTTTTTTCCCACTTTTAATGTTGCTTTCTTTTCTTATCGGGCGAATGTAACTTGGAGCCCATTGCAATAATAAAGATAAGAGGTAACTATTCCCCTGCACTGAAGGTTTGGCTTTTCCTGGGACAGGAGGGGAAGGGGTGGGC